ATCATATTTGCAACAAATTGACATTTAATCAGACTTTAGGTTCTGACAGAATCAGTGATACACCCCAATTAACTAAGCAATCTTAGACTCATGAGTTTTCTGAATTTCTGATCTTCAAGACCATTTCACCCAGCTCATTCCTTTAAGAGAAAACAGAGGTCTGGATAGTGAAGGGGCTTGGTATTTCCATCGCTTTTTGCCTTTTTAAAATTTAACTGACCTATATTTAAAAAATAAATCAATATAGTTAAAGTGTGTCTTCTTGTCCTTCAAGTAGTTATTGTTATTTATACTGTTTATATGGTGGTTATTTATGTGGCTGCCTTCTCTAGTATCTCAGTTTGACCTGTTCTATTTATATCCTTATAATATTCCAGCATCTGCCTTCACAATCAGTATGCATTTCTTCTGGGTCTTAAATTTCTAACATTTAAGTAGCCATTTCTCAATTTTCTTCACAGTATGTAGTGTGTATACTTTATATTTGTATTATTTGAATGTGTAACTCCAAGGTCTTCCCTATAATTTAATCGTCCATTTGTAGGGGAAAAAAACCAACACCTATTTTCTGTTCAGTAGCAAAAAATATGTTGTAAACAGTAGGAGGTTTATAATGTTAAAAACATATTTATTTTTAAAATAAGGAAGCATATTTACATGCCTGAATACAACCAATTTTTGTGCAGTGGGACTAGGACATTATTTCCTGCAACTCGATTTCATTTTATATACTGCCTTCTGTCTCATATTCTTTATTCTGGCCTCCAATCAGCAGCTTTCTTTTTCCAAATGCTTAGCACAAATTTGAACTGGATTACCTATGGTAGATGGAGAAGGAAGTATACAAGAATAACTTTCATGACTCCTATAGTTGAATGACTATAAACAATGCTAAAACTGCAAACAATTTCAGGACATTCCACAGACAAAATTTTTTTTTGTCTCATGTTTGTACAGTTTTTTAGTTTACTTGAAATATTGACACAGGTGCTAATGTGCATGCTTGGTTGAATTTGACTTTGTAACAGTATAATGAAGAACAGTATTGTTTGTAGAAATATAGCTAAAAATACTTTCATTAAGTTAGAAATAGCTGTTGCTTTCTGCCCCAAGAGAATCAAAAGCAAGTGTGAAGAATGGTAGTATCTCTCATGTGCAGTGGAGATGGGTGCTCCTGGGAAAACTTATACCTTATTCTATGTGCTTTCCACACAATTCCCTTTTGGGAAGATGTGACCTGCTTATTCATTTTTCCATGGATCATGTGCACATTTTTCCACTTGCAACACGCCGGTAACTAGGCTGGCATCCCCCAACCTAAAAAAAAAAAAAATCAGTTTTATAATGTTAAAGACATACTTTTATGGACATAAAACTCTAAAAATCTGTTTTAAGGAATTAGAAGTATTTACCATTCAGAGAAAGGAAACCCATGTGAAAACAACCAGAATTTTAGAATTAAGAGAGGCAATGTTACCCAGCAAGAAACAGTACAGCATAGTGGTGAAAAGATGGGGCCTGGATTGAGGTCTCCTGTTTATTTCTTTTTAAAAAATACTTTTTAAATTGATCTCAGAGAGGAATGGAAAGGGAGAGAGAGACCGAGATCAAGTCCACAGCCCAGATATATGACTAGGAATCAAACTGTGACCTCCTGGTTCAACCACTGAGCCACCGCGAGAAAGCTAGATCTTCTAAATCTTAGCTGCTCTTTTTACCTGCTTGATCTACCAGCTACTCAGAGTGGTATATTCATTTCCCATTTGATCTATTTCTTCTTCTAGTTTTGTCAATATATTGTCGTTTTATTTTTTTATTTTTTTAGTAGATTATGTAGATTCTAAGTTATATCATCTTGTATATTATCCCATATCTCCTTATGAATTACAGACTTTATCTCTACTTTTTTATTGCTTTAAAGTATACTTTCTCTAATATTAGAATATCTTCACCAGCTTTTGTTTGGTTAACGTGGTCTTAGGACAAATTTTTGCTGCTTGTTCCTACGTTTTTCACTATTTCGCTTGTAAGTGGATTACAGTTTTGTGCATTTTTAGCCTGTTTAATAATCTTAAACTTTAAAATACAAATTTATTAAATTTACTTTTGATGTAATTACTAATGTATTGTTTTATATGTACCATTTATAACAACCATATTAATATTTTAATATGAATTCTGTTTATGTTGTTTTACTTATGTTTTCTTATCTTTTGAATGAAACATTTTATTATATCAACTTTTTCTCTATTGAATTTTGATCATATGCTATTTCATTATTTGCTTACTATTTATCCTAGATATTAATATGCATTCTTGAGTTATTACAACCCAAAATAATTATCAATTTTACCTTTCTCCAAATACTGCTAGAACATTAACATCCTTTAATTCAATTTATGCATTTCTTGTCTAGTGCATTATTGTTACTATGCATTTAAATTCAACACACATTATAAACTTAACTAGAGGCCTGGTGCATGAAATTTGTGCATAAAGGGTGTGTGTGTCCCAGGCTGTACCTTCTTTAATCTGGGACCTCTGGAGGGATGTCCAACTGCCTATTTAGGCCCAGTCCCAGTGGGAGGGGTCAAGCCTGAATGGGAAGTTGGACATCCCTCTCACAATCCAGGACTGCTGGCTCCCAACCATTCGCCTGCCTGCCTGCGTGATTGCCCCTAACCACTTCTTCCTGCTAGCCTGATCACCCCCAACCACTCCCCTGTCCACCTGATTGACGCCTAACTGCTCCCCTGCCAGCCTGATTGCCCCTAACTGCTCTCCCCTGTTGGTCTGCTCACCCCTAACTGCCCTCCCTTTTTGGCTTGGTAACCCTTAATTGCCCTCCCTTGCCAACCTAGTCACCCCTAACTGACCTTCCCTGCTGGCAGTAATATTACTTGGGATTATTTTGAAGATTAAATGAAATCTTAAAGACCTGTTGAGTGCTTACTCTCTGGCAGCCACAGTTCTAACTTGTTCATTATGAGATAATATTTAATCTTTATAATAATTCTATACATTAATCTCCATCATAATCCTTTTTTTGTTTTTTAGAGAAGAAACTCAGACTGAGGATTTAAGCAACTACCTAAATGTACTTGATGGCAAGTGGCAGAGCCAGAATGTAAACCCATCTATAATGGCTCAGCAGTTCATGCTCATAGCACTGTCTTCCTCCACATATATAAGAGGTCCAATTTAGTTCTTGACACCCATTAGGCATGTAAATAGTTTTTAACCTTGTACTTAGTATGGGTTACCAAAGATTTTAAATATATTCAGAGTACTATTTTACAATAAGTTGATTATTCTGTAACTACACCATCAATTTAGTTGACTAAAAAAGAGAATTACTGCAAACAGAAATAATTTTTCTACTTCCCAAATATAAATTTGATCACTCTGGTATCTTTTTGAGTCCCAATTCCTTATATTTAGAGGAATTCTTATTATACATAATTTCATACTAATTTATCAGATGTAATCTTCATAGTATCATCATATGCCTTTCATATATCAAAGACTTTTGAATATATATAAATTACAAGCTGTGGAAATAGCTTATTCAGGGAGTTTAATTTATGAATGATCATGCTGAGAGTACATGGTGTGAAATTTGAAAGAGCGAAAGATAAATGCTCTCTTTTCATTAAGTACTAGTTTCCCAAATACAGAGGTTAGAGGGTATGAGGTATCAGGTGCTCCTCTTTTATTCCATTCATCAAAGTAACAATAAGGAAGAGATTCTGTTGGAGGTAGCACTCTCAGTTAAGTCACCCATAACTGAAGAGAGAGAGTTGATGTCAAGAGGAAAAAAGGCCGGGTCAAGAATGAGACATAGCTGATAGAAGTTGACAAACAGAAGGGTCATGTTTTTAAATTCTACTCCACACTTTTGGTGAAAATGATAAGCTACAAAGCTATTCACCTATTAAAAGACTTCACTTTTTGTGAGAGTTATCTTTCACAAATGTCATGTACCTTCTGAAGAAAAAACACAGAGTAACACAAATAGAGAGATGCTACTTTATTCTCATTCTCTTTTTTTGCAAGATGCTTGCAAAAAATACTTTTAAGCCAAAACCGGTTTGGCTCAGTGGATAGAGCATAGGCCTGTGGACTGAAAGGTCCTAGGTTTGATTCGGTCAAGGTCACATACCTTGGTTGCCGGCACATCCCCAGTAGGGGGGTGTGCAAGAGGCAGCTGGTCGATGTTTCTCTCTCATCGATGTTTCTAACTCTCTATTCCTCTCAATTCCTCTCTGTGTAAAATCAATAAAATATATTTAAAAATACTTTTAATACAAATAATTTTGTATTAAATTTGCATTAATAAGTATTTGGGGCTTCTAATACAATAAGTGGCATAAACTTGTTTCAAAGAATTCTGATTTCTGAATTAATGTAGACAAATTATCAATAATATAATTTTACCCAATGCTTAACTTTATGGTTATATGTCAATACTAGAGGCCTGGTGCATGAAATTCGTGCAAGAGTAGGCTTTCTTTCCTTCTGGCCACCAGCAGGCACCTGACACCTGGGCTTCCCTCACAGCCTAGGGTTCATCCAGAAGGTTGTCCAGAAGTCTGTCCAGTCTAATTAGCACATTATGCTTTCATTATTATAGATAGATGATTGTTCTGGAACTGTGTAAAATGTTGAAGGATACTATTCAGTTCTTAAGTCAAGATCTATCTATCTATCTATCTATCTATCTATCTATCTATCTATATACTAAAAGAACAGTCACTAAAGATGAAATTATGTTAAATTTAGTTAGTAATACCAAGATAATTTTGCCAGTATGGATTTCTCTGAAAGAGCATCTCCCAAATATTCAGTTCACAGAAAAAAGTAAGCACAAACTCCATGTACTTAAACAAATCACACGTGCACACATGTAAAGACATATATACACACTTAGAGATGTAGAAACGTTTTGACATTTTCTCTATTTTGTAAGAATTGCGTGATTATTCTTCCTATTTTACCAGGTGGTATTTTTGAATATGTGGAATCCGGCCCTATGGGAGCTGAGGAACTTGCATTCAGATTTGCCGTGAACACCATCAACAGGAACAGAACCTTGTTGCCCAATACCACCCTGACCTATGACACCCAGAAGATAAACCTCTATGATAGTTTTGAAGCATCCAAGAAAGGTAATTGATAGATATTTAACATTATGTGTCCTGGATTTCAAATTTCCAGGTATTTTAAAGAGATTTCTTAATTTCAAATATAATTAAACTAGAGGCCCAGAGCACGAATTCTTGCATGGGGCATGGGGCGGGGTGTGGGGGGTCTTGCTTGCCCACTCTAAGTGGGGGGGCGATTTGGGTTAGTGCCAGCCAGGGGAGGTGCCTCGGGCAGTTGGATGGCTGGCTCTGTCCCTGGTCAAACTCCCAGTCCAACTCTCTGTAGAGGGGACAATTTGCATATTAGCCTTTTATTATATAGGATTGTTAGGAACATTTTCACAAAAGATTTCTTTTCAAAATGCACCAAAAGTTATCAAGGAAATTAAAGTGATGTGACTACCCTTGGCAAACAACTGTGTTTATAACAAGAAATGCAATCAAATCTGTAAGAGTAAAATTGCTTTTTCAAGCAATTGATTGATTGATTATTAGTCAATTCCATTGTATTATTATTGTGGTCTTAATTTACTATATACCTTGAAAATCCTATAGTTCCACATGATCTCTAAGCTTTATTAGAAAATTTTGCAAACAATCTTTAATTTATATGTAATCAGTGCCCATTATTTAGCCACTGATGTTCTTTCTTGTAACTGAAAATAAATGACCAGTGATAAAAATTGGATTTTTTTAAGAGACAATTAGAATGATTTATTAATTTTATTTTATCATTAATGTTGTAACACTGTGCTTTAAACTATCAGTTAATTTAACATTTATATATGAAGAAAACTAATAGAAAAACTATTACCAAGGCATTCTTTTAGCCAAAGGACAGTAAATGTGTTTGGAGAAATGGTTCAATATTCATACTCTGTTTAAGTAGGGTGGGGTTTTTTTGTTGTTGTTGTGTTTTGGGGGGATCATAGATAGCATTCATGTAACAAGACTTAAATTTCATAATATACATTTTCTTCCAAATAATGGACTTACAAGCATTTGTTCTAAATCTCTATTTTTTAATAGTTTGCTTTTCTGTCATGCTAATATAGTTTTATTAGCTACCTTACACTGAGGGAGTGTACATAATTATTTATAATTCTACCTTCCTGAAGATTTCTTCCTAAACTCATTAATATTAATGAAAGCTGATAAGATACAATATTTCTTGAGATCAAAGAATCCTTTTCCCCCAGCTATGTAGTGTTTATAAAATCCTATATTCTGTCTGCCCTTTGAATTCATATCTTTATGAATACAAATAAGTTTCCATATTTCAGAACCATGTCAGAGAAAAAAAAAAGGGTAAAGTTTATTGAGAAATAGTACAATTATGATGATAATTGCAAAATAAGTCATTAACTGGAAGACAGTGCATTTTGTTTGTAACATATTAAGAAGAAGAAGCTCTGTCTCCCCTGAAATCATTTAGACCAAATAATATGAAATATGAGTGCAGTATAAATAAAATATTAATATGTTTCTTAATGGATTTCAAAGGTGCAACATAAAAAGGAAAGACTAAAATGTTCTAACAACAAACAGGTTACTGTCCTGGGAATACACTAGCAAAATTATGAGATGTTAAATGTGTTTTGTTTCTAAATATTAAAAGGAATTTATAAATTTTGTCATCCATTGGAAATCAAATTCATTAATTGACTTTGAGAAGAAGGAAAAACTCAAATAAGTGTATGAGTAACTTCATTTGTGTGATGTTGACAGTGTGAATGTCATGGTTTGGATCTTACCTTGTGAAGCTCTCGTATGGCAAATATGTAAAAGGATACAGTAAGGGTTATCTAATCCAGTTTTTTAACTTCATAGGGTAGTCAATAAATAAATATGTGTTGCTAAGGCTATTAATAGTTAATTATAAAATAACTTAATTATTTTGGACATTCCTAAAATGTTTTAAAATTTGTTTTCATATGCAAAAAATAAAAACTTAACATTTTAAATTTGTACATATTTTTTGACATATGTATGGTCTTACACTTTTAATAGGTAATATGGTTTTGTTCAATAAGTGGATATTTTGTAGCATTAATCCTTGAATTATTATTTGAATAATACAGATTTTACATAACTCCTCTGATAACTGAGCACTCTAATTCTTATTTGAAATACACTTAGTAACATTCTAAATAACCTAATGTAATGTTTTTCATTTTCTTGATGTGTGACTTGTCAAAAATTTAGTGAAAGAAGATCTTTTATTCTCAATGTATGTGAAATAAGATCCAAGTGAGTGAAAAATTTTAGACTCTAGCCTTTCTGTTGTTTCAGAATTTCAATCATGATTTTAAACAAGTAGGTTTTTTTCAACTAAAATTTACTCAGTTATTAAATATCTCTATTAAATATCTGTCTAGTTCATTGCATTTTATTCAACACATTGTCTGAAAGAAAATACAAGACTATTTTAAACATTAGACTCATAAACTATTTTGGAAATATTGAGTCTGAACACCTAAATCCCAATAACAATTCTTCGTAGTTCAGTTCAAATATTTGTAGGGATGGGCACCTTATAGCAGAAGACTCCAGTTTTAGACATTTCTTATTTTCTTTTAAATTTAATTTAAATTGCATCAAAATTTGTGAGAAGCTTCTAAACTATTTGTTCTTTTCCAGCCAAAGGAAGCAAACTTAAACATTTTCCACAGGCCATATATTCATATATTTAAAGATGATTTTATGTTTCCAATAACTACTCATTTTCTAGGCCCAAACTCACTTCAGTGTATCTTAAAGAATTGCAAGTCCTGTCACAATACATCTTTTCTCATCTGAAACCATCTAGATTATTTATGACTCTCTTGATTATCCTGCATATCATTGATAAGAATACATTTTTCCTGGAAGAAATATAAACTTTAAAAAATAAATAAGATCAATATAAAATGCTTATAGTAATCCAAAAGTCAAATAAAGATGATAAAGATGATTAAACAGTTATCTAAATGACTGATGTTCTTTCTACCCAATGAAATTAACCCATATGAAATCGGCCTTTTTCTTTCTTTCTTTCTTTCTTTCTTTCTTTCTTTCTTTCTTTCTTTCTTTCTTTCTTTCTTTCTTTCTTTCTTTCTTCTTTTTCTTATTTTCTTTTTTTTTTATAGCTCTATCAGGTTATGTGTAGATGGTTACATGCATAAGCTTGACTCTATTATAAGCAAAATCTTAGTTGTATGTGGCCATAGGGTTTAGTTTTTTTGTCTTAGTTTTTGTTTTTGTTTGTTTTTGTTTTGTTTTGTTTTGTTTTTAATGGAAAGGGGGACCAAGTGGGTTCTGATGAAAATAATTGAAATTGTAGGGAATGGCCAGTGGTTTTGGGAAGGAACACTCTTCTCCCAACCCCCTTTTAAGAAATATTCTTCAAAAATGAATAATTCCCTCTTGAATTCTAGAGTAGTCCTCCTTTGTCTCCTGATCTCTCTCCTTCCCTTGACATTGTCTGCGAAATTATTTGAGCCCTGAGCTGCAGGTGCCTGGGTGAATTAATTTCCTTCTAAGAAACTGAAAATATGTAAAGTTAGGAAAAAATGTAAAATTTGCTAAATATGGTTGTTATATTAAAAATAAACCCACACATTTTTCTTTACAACAGTTCCTTATGGCTTCCATATATAATGTGGGAGTGTTGGCACACTGGCATCTCTCCTCATTATTGACAGACTTTTATCTACTCCTCCTCAGCCTGTGATCAGCTGTCCCTCGGGGTGGCTGCCATCTTCGGGCCTTCGCACAGCTCCTCAGCAAACGCAGTGCAGTCCATCTGCAATGCGCTGGGGGTTCCCCACATACAGACCCGCTGGAAGCACCAGGTGTCAGACAACAAAGATTCCTTCTACGTCAGTCTCTACCCGGATTTCTCTTCACTCAGCCGTGCCATTTTGGACTTGGTGCAGTTCTTCAAGTGGAAAACTGTCACCGTCGTATATGATGACAGCACTGGTAAGAAAGATCAGTAGCCTTTGGAGCACAGTTTTAAATGTCAATACTTTTGTTCTGCAACTTACTCAAGATGCTTACTGTAGTCTTGTTAAACGGAGGAATGGAAAGATATTTGGCATTAAATATCAATACTAATTTCACATTCAAACAAACAAAACTATCCCAGTTAAAATCATATGCATTTTTATATTTATTGAAAAAGCACTTTTTTATGTGAAGGATCAGTTAGTAACAACTGTAATTTTGGATGAAAGATGCAAATAGTATGAAATACGATGTTGAAATCTTTATCCCAAAAGCATCTCTGCTGGGTTCAATAAAATTATTCAACTTAAAACTTCATAATTGGCTTTCAGTGAAATTTGTCAAGAAATTCAAGATTTTGTTCTTACGTTTTTTTCTAGCACATTAGGAGCAAAGAATGTTTATGAAGAGTAATAACCTTTAACTATATTACAAATTAAAGTTTGAAAATATTTTTATCTTAGATTTCAAACAATGTAATATCTATTAAAATACTCATAATTTTGGAAATGTTTATATGTAGACATATTTTAGGGACATGAAAAATAAAATTTAGTAAGTGATATTGATTGGGATCTTTAGTAAATAATTGTTATGCTTTCTTGTTTTAATGTACACAATTTTATATATGAATGGTTATCTTTAATTATTAATTAAAATAAGTCCAAACTATAAATATAAAAAAATAAACAGTAAAAGTAAAGTATTTTTCTTGCAGTTACATTGTTGAAGGATGTACATACTATTCTAGATATTATATACTGATAAGGAATTTCATGCTTAGATACTTATCAGTGATCTAAATAGTGCTCTTTAAATTCAAATTTTACAATATATTTTTTAAGTTAATATCTAATTTAAAAGTAAAATATTTATAAATAATAACTTTCTATGTGCATGGTTTATCTGGATTGTATAATGTGGTCATCCAGGGCATCCTCAGTTACAAACCGGTCCACATATGTTTAAGGATAGTCACATATGAATATGAATACATGTGCATTATGAATCCCTGGGTTATTTACTTCTCTATTTCCTCTGATATACTTCAGGTGAATGATGCCCAAATATTACATACCCTCATACACACACACACACACACACACACACACACACACACATTTATATATGGATGTTGTACATGTGATATTTTGTATTTATTTATTAATATCTTAAAACTCCTCAGAGGAGAAAGAAAATTTGTAAGTGTTCATAATTTTTATGGACATGCATTTATCTCTCAACACCCCTAGGGGAGTGGTTTCCAGGACCCCCCGCCCCCAGGACTCCAAAATCTGCGGATATGCATGTCCCTTCTATAAAATGGTGCAGTATTTGCAAATAAGCTAGGCATATCCTCCTGTGTATATTAAACCATCTTTAGATTGCTTATAATCTCTAATACAATGTGAACACTATGTCAATGGTTTAGGAAATTATGACAAGTGAAAAGACGGAACAGACACAACCATCATAGGCCTAACTACATAGTACACAATGGTAACAACATTTTCTTTGGATCCACAGTTGGTTTAATTCAGGAATGTGGGATATGTGGGTACAGAGGACTGATGATACCACCTTACTTCACTATTTGTGTGTGAGTGTGTGTGGCATTTTTATTTCATACATGTGGTTCTTGAGTGATTGAATTGACTCTAAGATAAACCCGTGGTTGGCAAACTGCGGCTCACCAGCCACGTGTGGCTCTTTGGCCCCTTGACTATGGCTCTTCCACAAAATATCACTGCCTGGGCGAGTCTGTTTTGAAGAAGTGGCATTAGAAGAAGTTTAAGCTTAAAAAATGTGGCTCTCAAAAGAAATTTCAATCGTTGTACTGTTGATATTTGGCTCTATTGACTAATGAGTTTGCTGACCACTGAGATACATGAAAGATCCTCTTCTAAATGGATTAATAAGCATATAAAAGTAGATTTATTTTGTATTGTTGAATATATTTAAAAGTCTCAAAGTATAGTTTTAAGGGTATAATTTAACAGAGAATTTTTAAACTTCCAGTGGAAAAATGTGAGTATTTGATCATGTGGGAGGGACTCCGATTGTAACTAGCACTGTGAACTGCAATGGGGGGAGAGGGGAAGGGGCGCATGCAGAATTCACCACATACTCAATAAGATGATCATTATTAATTCCATTATGGACTGAATGTATCTGCTTTTTACCGCAGGACACACTGTGCCATTTTATTTATGTTCCCTTCTTCTCTGTCCAGATTCACTTATTATGTATGCCTTTCCTCCCATTTATATTCATTTCTATTTTGTTGTGTTGTCCAGTTTGATACATGGTAATTATACTTCCATCCAGCCTTTGTTTCCGCCTCTAAAACAGATGGGGTGATAGATGAAATATAGTGCTGGAGTAGGGGAAATTCTTAGAATGATGTTAGCAGGAGCTGTTTATTTTTTATGATAATTAGCATTTGTTGTTGTCATGGATGAATGCTTTTAAACACCCTGAAAGTCTGTTACAGCTCTGAATGATGTCCAGAAATGATAGAAAAGAATTGGCTTCAGAAACAAAGCTGTGTTTCTGTCAGTCACTTTGGAACATATGATTCATTTTAAATAAAAACTAAAAATAAGTTGGGTAGCTGTCAGCTCGTAAGCAATTCCAGGATAAGTTGTGAATATCTGCTTTAAATTCCTGTACTTCATCTTTGTTTATAGATCAGCAGTCCATTAACGAAGATCTCTGGACTAGTAAATAAGTCTGGGATTCTATTTCTAGGTTGCTAAGTTACTGGTACACCTTTGGAAAAAAGAAGAAGGGACTGAAGGCCTGGGAAGAGGGCTGGAGTGGGTAGAGAAGGTGGATAGAGTAGAGTGAGGAGTTGGAGAGTGAAATGATGTGGTAGAACATAATTATAGTGTGGCTAGTACAGATAGAGAATATATATATATATATATATATATATATATATATATATATATATATATATATATATAGTGGCAGCTTAGAAGAGGAGCTTTTATTTATTTATTTTATTCTTATTTTATTTTGTTGTTTAAAGTATTACAAATATTTTATTTTATTGTTTAAAGTAGTACGTATGTCTCCTTTTTCCCCCCATTGACCTTCCCTTGGCCTCCCCTCCCCACCCACCCCCCACACACATGCCCTCACACCCCCCCCCCCCACCAGTGTCTTGTGTCCATTGGTTATGCTTATATGTATAGGAATCTCTTTCACTGCCCGTGTAGAAAGAGTTCCAGTTCAAGGTTCGGGTTCCAGAGAAGGGCCACACACAAATGAAAAGACTTGAGACTTAAAGAAATTCAACTTGGCCATATGGGGGGCCAGGCGGTAGTCCTACCCTAGTGGGAGAACTACTACTGCTCTGGCCCTGCCGTCCCTTTTATTGAGGCTTTGGGGAAAACATCTTAGGCAGCATAAACAGAAATTTACATGTAGCCCTTAGGCAGGAAATAACAGAAACAGGACAAACCAGGTGGAGGCTGCTTCAGCTAACAATATCTCAACTAAAGGTTAGAGCAATTAAGGTTGTTGACCGGCCTTCCTGGCTTCCAGTCAACATCTCTTTTTTTATTGAAACTGATTTGTTTTCCAGCATATATGCATACATACAAGTCCTTCTGTTGAAGTAGGGGATGTTTTAAAGCCGCTTAAGAGAAATCAGAGGAAGTGTTTTGGTGAAGCTGATATCAGGAAGTTATCATGATGTTACAATAGGAATGTGTCAACTAGAGGAGGGGACTGAAAGGTGCAACATGTAAAGATGTGAGGATGCCTGAGGGAACCAGTTAATCAGGGAACTGTCCATGTTTCATTACTGAGCACCAGAAACAGTAAAGATGAGGAATGATGAGGAAGAGTTTGTAAAAATCCAGGATAGAAACAATCACAAAAATTCTCTACTAGCTACTCTACCTCTCTTCCTTCCCCCAAACCCCCCTCCTGATTTCTGCATGTTTATAGTAATATCAGTTATGTCTGTGTAACATGACCCTACTTTCTAAGCCACCATTGAGTATCTCAAGGATGGGCGTGCACCCATTCAGTTCCTTTCTTAAGAAGTCAGAAAAGGACACAGAAAGAGCAGGACCCTGGGAAACCTGGACTGTCAAGGTAACTGTGGCCTTTGGTGTCAAAATAATCATTCAGGATCGAAATCCTGGCTTGTTGTGTAATTTTCAGCAAGTTACTTGACTTTAAAAGCCTGCGTGGACACATTTGTAAGTTGAAGATAATAGATACTTAAGTGAATTGTAGTCATGACTAATGAAATATGTAAAGTGCCTTATAAACCCCACATAGTAGGAGCTTAAAACTGACAATACAAATGTCATAGGCTATGCACTATTTATTTCTTATTTTCTAGAAAAAGGAATTTTTATTAACTCCACCTAATTTTTATTAACTCCACTTTTTTTTTTTCTTTTTTAATACGGGAAAATCTATATGGAAAGATTTGACATTATTTGCCCAAGGTTCCATAGCCAATAAATAGTAGAGCTGGGCTTTGATCCTCAGCAGTCAACTCCAGAACTCACTCTGTTCAATATTATGATACATTGTTAGTTTTTTATTTTATTTTTATTTGATTCATTTTGCAGTCATTGTTTAAAAAAGAGAGACACAATCAGAATTACTTTTGGCAAAGGCTCTCTGACTATAGTGTGACGAATATGTTGGAGCTACCATGATAAGGGGGAAATAGGACAAGACCAAAAATAAGAGAATTTCTGAATTACTCAAGTTGAAGAAAAGAGTACCAGTCACACTTAGGGAGATTTTGATGAAGTGGTGTTGAGGTAGAGAATTCTCCGAAGATTTGACAGTTACAAATTGTAGGAATTTAATAAGTAAACAGGGGAAGGAGTGATGCAGACAGAGAAAAAAAGAATGAACTCTATGTTTCTATACTGGGCCACATTTACCTAAGTGGGGAAGCAATAAAATGATATTTGGGAGATGGTATAGTAAATCTGGTT